GGACAGGAAGTGGTTGTAGAAAAAAATATGTCCTCATGTGAAGATAGTAGGTTTGTTTGTGCATTTTTTATTTTTATTTGCAATTTGAGATCAGAAGGTCCAAATTATGCTGAAAACAATTTTTCAACTTTATATGACAAGTTCTGTAAAAAACAACGGCCCCGTGAGGACACGGGGTGTCGGCAGCATTCACCCCTGACTGCAAAGTGTTCGCAATCAACAATGCTGTCGGAGGAAAAGGGGTGGAGCTCCTGCAGGTAAGGGGCGTTTACCTTTGGGACCAACTGAGGTCACTGATTGGTCAGTTGCTGAGTGTACTGGATTGATTGACAGGTGGAGATGAGGATCTGACACGTGCAAAAAATATCATAGAATTTCCTGGCCTGCTTAAGAGTCATCGTTTATTCCATTTGTAGTCCATATTTATTAAATATCTATTAAATATTTATTCCATATTTATTAAATATCTATTAAATATTTATTCCATATTTATTAAATATCTATTAAATACTTCTTAAATATTTCTGTGAATTTGTTTGGGAACTGAGTTTCTTTATAAAATCCTAAAGATGGTTTCTTTGTTTTTCAGGGGTGCTCAGCCCCCCACCTCCCCCCCAGAAAGAGGCTAAAATCACCCCTGCCTTACCGTCAGATGAGCCAAAAGTTTAACTACAGAGTTAGTTACAGCTACAGGAACTAACTAGCTAAAATAAGAAAGAGTAAGTTGTTTTAAAATGTGTGGATTGAACTTTTAGTCGAGTTAAAGTCGAGTTTGAGACGCTCGGCTTCAGTTTTGGTGTTTTCAAACTCGCGGTCCCAGATTTGTCCAAAGGTCTCCGTCTGGTTCCTGAAGGAGCTGCTGTGACTCTGAAGTCCGTCCACGTTCAGACGGACGGGTCAAAACAGCCGGTTCTGTCCGACCCAACCACTGAACACACGACCAAGAACCTGTTCTGTTCCCGCTGGTTCCAGAAGATTTATGAGCTCAGGAGACGAAAACAAACTTGTTATTGTTCTTTAATTTAATTCTCTTCGCTGTGATCAAACCAGCATGTCTCCTCCAACCCGACCAGAACCCGTGTGGATTTATGGCCCTCTCCTTGGATTAATCAGCGGCTCGGTGTGACTTCAGGTCCAGATGGTGGCGCTGGAGAAAACCCTCTGATGTCACGTTTCAGCTGGGAACGGTCACAGCTGCAGCTCCTCCCAGGAATTATCCTGTACCGCTCAGCTGCTTGGAGCCGCCTTCAGAAACAGAAGGCATCATGGGAGCTCAGCCCGGACGTTTGATATTTACCTCCAAACATCCGGGCCTTCCTGGGACCCGTTAACGTGGTTCTGGAAGGACTTGATTTGGACCTTGGCTGCTTTGGGGCTGAGATGGGGCAGAGGCAGAGCAGCTGACGGTTCAACTCCCATGCATGCCCACGTCATGGTGTCCCTGAGCAAGACACCCAATCCCGTGCTCCCTGGGCGCTCAATAGCTGCCCACTGCTCCACCTGGTTGTATCTCAGGTGTGATGGTTAATGCAGAGAAGTGATGTCATCGTTTTATGGAAACATACGATGACATCACTTCACCTGCTTCAGTCCTCGTTGCTGAACCTTTTCAGAGGAAAGTTTTTATCTCTGACCTCTGACCTCGTTCAGAAACAAACAAATTCTTAAACTCAAGGGAAGAACCAGAACCAGTACTGCCCAACCCAGTTTGAACTGGAACTTTAGGCTCTTTGCTCCCAGCGGCAGACACAGTCTGGTCTAATCTCTTTGGTATTTCCTTTAGTCGAAACCCGTTTCACTGACCCAGAACCTGCCTGACCCGGTTTCACTGACCCAGAACCTGCCTGACCCCGCATCAGTTCTAGGTTGGAGTTTTACCGACGCTCTGCAGGCTGAGCTGCAGCTTCTTGTTGTTCGCAACAGAAGCTTTTTGTCCCAAAGGTTCAGAGTCTGCCTGGTGTCCCGGTGACCCGGTCCGTGTCTCTGATGTGCTGTGCTGAAAGCCGAGCCGCCGGGTATCGACCTGCGGCCCGTCTGAGTGCTGCGGCTGTGAAATCTGATCTGCCATTAACGCTCATCAGTTCCTCCACTGGAGACGAATCTGAAAATACCTCGTCCAGAACCGGACCGGTGGTGGCGCGCCTCAGCACAAATCCCTGATTTCAGATCAGATCAGTTCAGATCAGATCAGACACATCTTAGCACCAACAGAACTGGTTTGTTCCACTTTGGAGTAAGCTGTTTGGGGAAGAATCAGTTTTGTGTTGTGTGTTTCCTTGACTGATGAAGCCTTCTGGATGGAAGGTGAAACGTTTCAGCACAAAAAAAAAGAAACTGTCCAGATGACCTGACTGAAAAATGTTGGATTGTAAACCTGGATTATTGAGCATGAACCTTTTTTGATCAGATCAGATCAGTTCCAAGTTGAACTGAAGGTTCCTGCAGTGACGACGAGCTTCACTGGAATAAAGATAAAGATCTAAGGAGTAAAGACGTTGTCAGAGCTGGAGGTTCAGGTGTGTCAACGAGCAGCTGTGGACCTCTGAAGTTCTGGAAACCAACAAGTTGGAGACAGGTCATAGTTTCTACACGACACCTCCAACAGAACCGAGACGGATCTGAGACGAAGTCGAGATGTTCGAAACTCGAGCTGCGTGACGATGAGCTCCTGCAAACATTTAGAGACGTCTTGGAGATGCAGGTCCAACAAGTTTCAGCTGAACGGACCTTCATTTACCCACAATGCACTGCAGCCAACACAGCATGTCCAACACCAGCGCGTGGCGAAGCGAACGCGTTCGTTTTGATCGCTGCAGACTGACGTCTTCTCTGGGAAGGAACCTGACGAGCGGTCTCCTGCGTCCTGATTGGTCCTGACTCCATCATCTGTGTCCTGCGTCCTGATTGGTCCTGACTCCATCATCTGTGTCCTGTGTCCTGATTG